ATAATCTGCAATTTCATTACACGCATAGAAAGTATAAAGAAATCCGATAATGATAGACATAGCCTGGTCCATTGTTGGGAAGCTTGCTGAATACACAGTCTATCCAGTTTTGCGCCAAATCAAGTACTCGTTCTTCTACAACAGTAACATTCAGAATTTGCGGACTAAAGTTCAAGAACTTGAAAATAAGAGAAATGACGTGAAACTACAGGTTGATGCTGCCAAAAGAAATGCTGAAATCATCGGGGAAGAAGTTTCGGCATGGTTGCAAAAGGTCGATGACTTAAAGCAAAAAGCTCAAGAAATTTTGAACAGTGTGGCAGGTTCTGAAATGCGGTGTCTATTCAATAGATGTCCAAATTTGAAGTCTCGTTACTTATTAAGCAGGAGAGCCACAAAGAAGACTATTAAGGCTGATAAGCTCAAAGGGGAAGGTACATTTGAGAGGGTGGGCTATCCTCCACCGCCGGTGCAACTGTTGAACCTAACTTCCCACGAGGGTTTCGAAACAAGGTTATCAACTAAGAAGAAAATCAAGGAAGCTCTAAAGGGCAAAGATATCGGCATAATTGGGATCTATGGCATGCCTGGAGTTGGTAAGACAACAATGGCAATGGAAATAGACAAAGAAGCCAAAGATGAGAAATTATTTGAGGAGGTTGCATTTGCAGTTGTATCTAACGATCCAGACGAAAACAAAATTCAAGATCAACTCGCTGAAGCGCTTGGTCTAAAAATTGAAGATAAGACAACTAGAGTGAGAGCTGGACAACTTCGTCGAAGGCTTGAAGGTAACAAGAGCATTCTTGTAATATTAGACGATGTGTGGACAGAAATTGATTTGGGAACTATAGGAATTCCATCTCCACGTGATCGCAGAGGGTTGAAAATTATGTTTACAACGCGAATTGAAGAAACGTGTAGTAAAATGAAAGCCCAAACATTCGAAATCGAAGTTTTACCTGAAGAAGAAGAATGGCAACTTTTCAAGGACACGGCAGAGATTTCTGATGATGAAACTGATGTCGTAAGCATAGCCAAAAGAGTTGCACGCGAATGTAAAGGTCTACCTCTTGCTCTAGTGGTTGTTGGCAAAGCACTGAAAAACAAGGGCATACATAAATGGAGAGATGCACTTCAACAGCTAGAGAAGTCTAGAGTGACCAATCTTGATGGAATGCACAAATTGGTGTACTCAAGAATAAAATTGAGCTACGACTTTTTGGAAAGTGATCAAGACCGGAAAGTGCTTTTGCTATGTTCTCTATTCGCTGAAGATGAACGTATTCCAATTGAAATTTTGGTTATATATGCAAGGGGATTAGAGTTGTTTCCAGATACTGAGACGCTCAGCAAAACTAGAGATCGAGCATATTCAATTGCGGATAATCTAAAAAGTTGTAATTTATTGCAACTGGATGAGCGGAAAGACGAGGTGAAATTGCATGATGTTATCAGAGATTTTTGCTTAGAGATAGCAATTAAAGAAAAATGTGGATATATGGTGAAACATGCTGGTTTGAAAGAGTGGCCAGAACACGATGCTGATGAATCGTGCAGTGCCATCTCAAT